AAAAACCACCATCTCATTTCCGCTACCATTTTCAAAAAATATTGCTGTTTACATTTCCATCGTCGACAATTATCGTTACCAACTAAAACGGTCGGTGAAAACCGAAAACGGTAACCGGAGATATCAAAAAATTTTGTACCGTTTTCACCCTTAATCTGCTGGGTCTAAGTCAGGTACAGGGGACCAAACGTCCCTAATGTTTCCCCTCCATGCATGTTCCCCAACCAAAACCCAACACATAGATTGCGTCCTGGATTGAGCCAAATCACACCTTAATTAGGTGTCCCTCAAGTAATTACTCCAAGCAAAGTACAAGTAGCTAATAGTCAATACCTATCCCCACATCTTTGTTCACATATGTTGACACAACTGAACATTGGACCATCACAGCTTAATTTCAACGTACTCATCCAAGGGGAAAGAAAAATGACATGAGCCACGTGGCATGCTCCTGCTTCTGCCACGTGTGTAGGCTAGGGAATATTTTGTTTCTTATTCTCCAAACTACGGTCTTTGTGGGACATAAATTTAACCAAACTCTGAGAAAGATATTGTCTCTGTTTTTAATTAATTAAAGAAAGGCTCGTCACCGATTATATATTTGACGTGAAATCCTTATTCTTAAACCAGTACAGATCAGAGGACTTTGTGAAACTCATCAAAAACTCTTCCATGCATGTGCATCTCCTCAGCTAGATAAGGTTGTTTAGGTTAGATGCAAGGATTAACTACTAGGGATGTTGCTTGGACGGTTCATTACTTAATTCTCCTGAAAAGGCACTATGATTTGATGTGTCATGTGCCATACAATCTTATTTGGGTCTAATTATGTCTGAAATTCATGCAGGGTAAAATATTTTCCACTCATGTATCACATATGGAGAAATGGTTTTTAGAAGAGATGTAAACAAAAACCGACAAATGATTTTGTTGTGTTTATTGTTTTCTGCCTACGACCATATATATACAAAAGTCTAACAATAAGACCTCAGAAATAAAGTTACAAACTTTGTTGATTTGGTATTACTTAATTAATTAAAAAAATTATGGACTTTGCTAGTCTCTTTCAAGCCAGCTGAAAACAGATGTTTGTTACCCTTCCAATAAAGTCAAAAAAGGGCACTTCACCACTCACAAGTCACAATGGGAGGAACTGATAAAGGAAGCTAACCAGGTAAGAGCAGGTACAATAACAGGCTATAAGCCAGCTGCAAACATATTTTAAGTAGATAAATGAGGAAAGAGAAGGGCAGCGGGCTACAGATTTGTAGCCAGCTGTAGCACGGACTCTAAGATGCAGTGTGTGTATGACAGGTGGGACCAGATATTAATAGTATAGTATGTAACTATTGTATGAATGAACTATTAGATTAGTTACAGATGAATTGGAGCTAGTAGTTGGCTATACTATTAAACTTGCTCTAAGAAGTGCAAGCTGATTCTAAAGAAGTTCCTAAGGAGAAGAACTTTCTAGAACCGAAACGTGGAAATTGACACATGTGCGGTTGACTTGTTCTTGGCAAGATTAGTGCCATTGTTTTATTTTATCATTTAAAAAAAGTACCATTATTTTTATACAATGCAAAAATGATTTTTTTAAAACAATATTTTATACTAAATTGTTAAATATCTCTTTTTTAGCTTATACCCAACAAGGCAAAAAAAGACCCCCCAAAGTAGGGCAATAAGAGAAGCCAGCTGTGCATGCCACCTGTCAATGATGCTCTGCTGCAGTGACACATCACTTGGTCTACATACCAACATGATGGACCAGGTTCATTCACAATTTTAGTGAACCTTATATTGGATGATGACAGGGAGGGATGCAAACAGGAAACAATAAACTCTTCCTTCCCCACCTTTACACCTGGCAAATCTTTGACCACCACAGGCTCTTGTTTCTTACAATAAACCCTCGATGTATTCAAATATTAGATATACTTCTTCTGTCACAAAATTTAATTATGTTTTTACGGAAAATTTTAAGAAAATAAGTGAAATTGAAAGATGAAATTAAGGTTGTAATTGGTAGAAAAGAGAAAATAAGTGAAGAAATTAATTAAATAGGAGATGGATGGATGGTTATGGTTGGTTGAAATGAGAGGTAAGTGAAAAAATAGCTATATATTATAACGAAATCAAACTATTAAAAAACTATATTTTAGTACGAATGGAGTAGTTATTAACACAACCAATATCAATCAGCGTCCTAAAGATCAATAATACCAAACTTGCAGGTTTTGTGATGTAAAGCCGATGAAAAAAAAAATACTAATTTGTGGTGTGGAGCTCCTCCAAATATACCCCGAGTTCCAGGACATACACTGTCGCTTCTACGAGTACATGGCCATACAATCTCACGAGCTATATGCTTATGACACATGGCTTGCACGCTAGAGCTATCTAAAGCTTCAGAAAGAAAGAAAACTAGGAACAATGCAAATAATTGTAGTCACAGAGAATTTGGCCAAAACAGGTGAGGATGAGACAAACTTTGAGAGCGAAATGCATTCGCCCAAAACAGGTGAGGGTGAGACAAACTTTGAGAGCGAAATGCATTCGGCATGTTTCTAAAAAACCATTTTGCAGGGCTGTCAAATGAAGTGCAAGGTAATACACGAAAAGAAACTAAACGAAAGCACCCAGACCATATGATAATAAATCATCAGTGCATTTGTAGATATGATGCCCAAGTCCTTTTGTGTCCATATTCCACACTGTTCCCTGACATAGTGACATCTCTAAAAACAATTTAATTACAAGTGAGGGTGATCTGAGACAAACTTTAAGAGTGAAATGCATTCGGCATGTTTCTCAAAAACCCCTTTTACAGGGCTGTCAAATGAAGTGCAAGGTAATACACAAAAAGAAACCAAACGAAAGCACCCAGACCATATGATAATAAATCATCAGTGCATTTGTAGATATGATGCCCAAGTCTTTTTGTGTCCATATTCCACACTGTTCCCTGACATAGTGACATCTCTAAAAACAATTTAATTACAAGTGAGGGTGATCTGAGACAAACTTTGAGAGTGAAATGCATTCGGCATGTTTCTCAAAAACCCCTTTCACAGGGCTGTCAAATGAAGTGCAAGGTAATACACAAAAAGAAACCAAACGAAAGCACCCGGACCACATAATAATAAATCACCGGTGCATTTGTAGATATGATGCCCAAGTCCTTTTGTGTCCATATTCCACACTGTTCCCTGACATAGTTACAACTCTAAAGACAAATTTAATTAGAGTAATTAAGGTTGTTTGAATAGTATGATCCATATTGGAGTATGATATGTCTTTGTCAGCCTATTCCAATCTTGACCTTATTTGATTATTACACTTGAAAAAAATGGCCCAACTAGATATTACCATATTTCAAATTATGGTTTTTGAGGTAAAGTTTGTTGTTAAGAATTCCAACCTACAAACATAAAAATGACCCAGCTAAACCCTTAATTTGGATATGCATATAACCTTTTCTAGAAAACATAACACAGTAGTGAAAACAACCACAAATCCATTGCCAATTACTCCATCCATCCAAAAATATAAGGCTTAACTATACCACTAATGTAGAAACCAAGAAAGAATTATTTCACTCTCTCTTTTTGATCACTATAACAAATACAATGCATGCATCTAATGAGATTAGAGATTTTAAGAGTCGAGATTTAAAAGACAAATTAAAGAGGAGAAATATGATAGTTAACTGCATGCGTATGCATGTACATTTTATATTATGAAACAATAAAAAAAATAGTCGTGCTTTATATTTTTATGACGAAGGGAGTAAGTCAGGCTTCGTAGAACCAATAGCGATGGAAAAAGGAAATAACTAACTACTACTTCGAGAACAATTAATGAATGGATGTGAACCGAAAATACAATTGGCAAACCAAACCTTGTAGTATAGATATAGTACTATATACATCTCTCTTTAGAGAGTTTTGTGTCCACCGATCCATACAGAAGGGACTACATATTTTACATAATGGCTCACTTATATTTATTATAAGAAAATCACGACTTATTAACAAGTAAAAATAATCCATGGATAAAACTTTTGTTTACATGCTTTTATCGATTTAAAAGTAAATGCTATAAAATAAACTATGATAAAAAAACTTTTAAATAAACTCTAAAATCAAGAACGTCCCTATTACCTTAAAAGTATGATAGTCCTTCTTTCGTCCTCTTTCATACACTCTGCGTAACCACCGTATCTAATTCTTAAGCCAGCCAACCAGCCAATCCCTAATTATATGAGCTTAGCCTGTGCTTTACCCTCAATTCATCTCATCACCCACCCAATCCACAATTATTTTATGATTCTGATCCGTTGCAAAAAAACGAACATGCTACTAGTAATTGCAATATAGAAATACGAAAGGGCATGTAGTAGAGTGGCTGTAGTCATCTGAGTAGCACCCTAAGATAACCGCATATATCCTGGTTGGATGTAGAGGCCGGATAAAAAAACACCTTTATTATTAAAAAAAACCTAGACAACATTATCCCGTTGGAACGGGATACCCTTATAAGACAGTATCTGATACCTGATACTTGTTGTGGTACCAGCTACATAGTACCCGATACCTGTGATACCTGTTACTCGGTACTTGTGATATCTAGGACCTGATACATGTGATACTCGTGCAAAAGAATAGTTAATATATCTATCCCGTTGCAACGGGATTCCGTTTTGTAGCAGCCCTCTGAAAAACAATGTAGAAACATCACAAGGGATGACAACGAGGAGGACAAGAAAGGAGAGAAAACAAATGGGAGGGGGTGGTAAGTGCAAAAGAGGGAAAAGAGGAAAGATTGCAGCCAAGCGAAGAAGGGGCCAGGTGCGGGTGAGGGCGACGGGGGGTGTGGGAAAAGGCGACGAGGAAGAGAATCAAAAAACGCACCCTTGAGGCCACAAGGCCAAGCTTGTGGCTCTCGACACCCTCCTACGTGGCCCCCACCCTCCTCCTCCCTCCCTTCTCTTATAGCCAGCCGCCGCACGCATCACTCCAAGAACCCCCAATTCCCTCCTCCTCCCTCCTACAACCCCAATCCCCCTTCTTCTTCTTCTTCTTGTACTTGTTGTTCTTGCTCTTGTTCCAGTGTTGCAGCAGCAGCAGCAGCAGCGGAGGCGCAAGAAGACGAGCTAGAGAGAGAGAATCAGAGGAGAGCTTGGGTGAGATGGGTGAGTGCAGAGGAGGAGGAGGAGGAGGAGATGGGCTGATCAAGCTGTTCGGGAAGACGATCCCGGTGCAGCCGGATGCCAAGGTTGGTTTTGTTCCTGCCCTGCTTCGATCGATCAGGATCGTCGTTTGTCGTTGTTGTTGTTGTTTTTGTTTTTTTTGTTTTAGTTTTTGATTCTTGGCTCTGCGTCTCTTGGGGAATTTTCGGTTTGGGTCTCTGCTCTGTAATTCTTGTATGTCTCTTCTCATCTTAAACTGCAAAAAATCTTTTGTTTTTCTTTTATGTGAAGGCATAGGAGGCCTTCCAAAGGTGCAGTAGTGAGTGCTAGTTTGAAGAGTTTGATGAAGCTGAAATTTCTATTAGGAAAAGTATAAAGATTTTTTTTTATTTACAGTTCATAAGGAAGGGTGATGGAAGTCATTTTTTCTCTTAAATAAATATATGCTAATTTAAGTTGGTGTGGTATGGGGGGCTTGATTTGGTGCAAATCTAGAGTTTCTGAAGATGGACCTGACCTGTTTGGTTGGTCTCTTCAGAGTTTTTAGGAGTTGAGACAAAGCCTTGTCTTTTAGCCTCCTAGGATCCATCTATGTTGGTCCAAATTTCCTTTCTTATAAGCTGTGAAAGAAAAAACTAGTAATTTTCCAACCTTCAGATAGAGTTCAGAAACAGGAACCAATTCCCAATACAGCAAAAGTACCTAGTACTGTAACCCTGAAACAACAAAATGGAAATAAATATTTTCTCTCTCTAAATTTGCACTCATGGATAGTATCAGATAATTACAAATATGTGGTGATGTTAACCATAGCCTGTACAGTTGTATCCTCCTGATTTATACCCAAAAAAAGGCTAAAAAATTTACAGTGTTTATCAAGAACTATAGTAATTATCACTTCTTCAGAACTGATCAACTAATTTGACTGTTGCTAATTTGCAGGATGTTCAGCAGCATAGTGGCAGTAGCAGCAGCTCAACCGAATCCGACGTCCAAGAAACCGCCGCTGTCGCCGTCGCCGACCCCTCCCCGCGGTCGGAGGTCGTCGACGGCGAGAGCCCGCCGCAGCCGGGCGGCGAGGCGGCGAGCCATCAGCAGCAGCAGAAGGAGATGAAGCTGAAGAAGCCGGACAAGATCCTGCCATGCCCGCGGTGCAGCAGCATGGACACCAAGTTCTGCTACTTCAACAACTACAACGTCAACCAGCCTCGCCACTTCTGCAAGCACTGCCAGCGCTACTGGACCGCCGGCGGCGCCATGCGCAACGTCCCCGTCGGCGCCGGCCGCCGCAAGAACAAGAACGCCACCGCCGCCGCCCACTTCCTCCACCGCGTCCGCGCCTGCGCCGCCGCCGCCGCCATGCCCGCGGCGCCCCACGACGCCACCAACGCCACCGTGCTCAGCTTCGGCGGCGGCGGAGGCGGACACGACGCGCCGCCGGTCACCCTGGACCTCGCCGACAAGATGACGCGCCTCGGCAAGGAGGGGCTCGTCGCCCATGCCCGGAACGCCGACGCCGCCGCCGCGTGCAGCGAGGTGTCGAGCAACAGGGACGACGAGCAGATCGGCAACACTGTAGCAAAACCTGCAAACGGGTTGCAGCAGCATCCTCCTCCTCCTCATCATCATCATCATTCAGCCATGAACGGTGGCGGCATCTGGCCCTACTACACCTCGGGGATCGCGATCCCGATATACCCGGCGGCGCCGGCGTACTGGGGCTGCATGATTCCACCTCCTGGAGCTTGGAGCCTCCCATGGCCGGCCACAGTCCAGTCTCAGGCCATCTCATCATCATCACCACCTACAAGTGCTACACCTTCAGTCTCCTCCTTCACACTAGGCAAGCATCCCAGAGAGGGTGGTGATCATGAGGCAAGAGATCACCATGGCAATGGTAAAGTGTGGGTGCCGAAGACGATCCGGATCGACAACGCCGACGAGGTTGCCCGGAGCTCAATCCGGTCACTCTTCGCCTTCAGAGGCGGCGACAAGGCGGATGATAACAACGACGACGATGGCACCGGCGTGCACAAGCTCGCCACCACGGTGTTCGAGCCAAAGAGGGACAGCAAGACGGCGAAACATCCGGCGATCACGAGCTTGCCGCTCTTGCACACCAACCCCGTCGCGCTTACCCGATCCGCGACCTTCCAGGAGGGATCTTGAAGGCCATCTTGCAAGATTTTTTTTTTTTTGCCTTCATCCTCTCTGCTGCTTCTGAACTGAACACGAAGTTAGTAGCCTGACAGTGCTGATTTTTTTGTGAATCAGACAGAGTATTTGTATACTAGGGGTATTTGGGGGAAGTGTATGACATAGCTACTTGTGGAGATATAGTTGTAACCATAGGTAGCATGTAAATACTATTTAGAAAATAGCTGTTTAAATGGATATAGCTAGTATTTGGGTTTGGAGCCAGGAGATAAGTAAGGCCCCTGGTTTTGTAGATAAATAAGAATCAATTAGATGGAATATATGGCTTGAGGTATTTCATTTCTTCAGCAATCTGTTGTAATATTGTTGCAAGCTTCAGTCTGAAGAATAGTTTCAGTGTGCAACTAATTGCACCATAAACCATGTACTTTGTTCCTTGATATGAAATAAAATTTTATGGGTTTTCAGAGAAAAAAAAAAGAGAGTGAATACACAAGTAGTCCATAGGATTCATGGTATGGGTAAGGACATATTCTGACATTCTGGTAAACTCTCAAATTTGTCCAAGTCTTTCTCATCTCAGGATTGGCAGGGACAGCAGAAACAGTATCTGATTTCTTTGTTGGTTTCTCTGTATCATTCCTTTTGCATTTCTTTCTTTATTTCCCTTATATTTATTTATTTGCCTTTTTGTTGAGATAATTGAACTAGGAAAGTGGTGCAAAAAGTGGAGGCAGGCATGGCCAAAAGAAAAGAAAGTGACAAGCAACTGCTTGTCCAATTGCCCCACTGACCTTCAAAAGTGAAAGCTGAATGGTTAGCTCCTTTACATACTGCCAGCTCAGTCCTACAAGCGGTCCAACCAACAACAAAAGGATTCACAAAACAAAATATTAATTAATATATGAAAGGCTTGATCTAGCAAAAGATTGGAGATGGACATGTTGGCATTTTTTAGTGGGGCCACATGGACTCAAAGGAAATACATTTATTTATCACCTATATCTAGTTGATGGATTATCCTGTCTATGCATTACTAATTTAACATTCCATCCGTTTGAAAATATAAGCTGTCATAGTTTTCCACAAAGTCAACATTTTGACTAGTAACTAAACTAACAAATTTTGGACTAATAATTAAAGCAAACAGTTATGTGTTTAGTGCCAACTATATTGTATTACTAGCTTCGTATTTGAAAATATTTTTATATGATGTTAATTTTGCAGCTGTTGATAATATATTATTTTTTAGATAATGTGATAATATATTATGAAAGAAACTAATGGTAGAAGTATAAGGTTAGAGACCGTGCAAAAACCTAATACACCTTATATTTTAATCGGAGCGAGTATTATGAAGCAAAAACCTAATACACCTTATATTTTTAATCGGAGCGAGTATTATGAAGCAAAACAAATATGACTATGGTCCTGTTCGAATCCACGACAAAGAGTGGATACACTTTTGGATTTTCGTGGCACGCTTTTCAAACTGCTAAACGGTGTGTTTCGTGCGAAAACTTTCTATATGAAAGTTGTTCTAAAATATCAGATTAATCCATTTTTCAAGTTTGTAATAATTAAAACTCAATTAATCATATTTTATTACCAACTCATTTTACGTGAAACACTTAATCTTCATCTTTAGTAGATTCAAACACCACCTATGTTAACTAAAATCCCTTATAGTTGCAATACATACAGTAAGCGATCTAGTAGTGATTATTAACTAAACTTGCTTTTTGTTAGGTAGCAATGCAGCTTAGTAATGCTCCAACATATGGATTAATTAGCACCATTCATGCTGTCTCCTTTTGCGCGTTGACATTTGGCTGGTGCCATCTCCACTACTTACAACACCGTCAGTCAACCAAGCTCAATAGAGTATTTGTTTATTATATTTGACCTAAGCTTCCATCTACATGTCAAATTGTCAACACATTGGTCAGAGAGCCAAACACAAATGCGCTGAAAAAGTGACAAAATAGTAGTAACTAATTAAACGTTGACACACCACTGATGAAGTGATGAGCACCACATGCATTCATCAATGGTATAAGCATGCTTATCACTTTAGTGCCACTTAAAACATCCTTTTGGGACATTGCTTAGTGCATGGACATTGCACCCACAATTCACAGAATTATGTAATCATAACTGAACTCTCAAAAGATAGGTTAACTAGCATTAAAGTTGATTACTTGAACTTGTGTGTTAAAGCATAGATCATGATAACATAATTCCTTCAGCCAAATTAAACCACCTGTGCCTAAGAATTGTTTCATGTTATGCCTCAGAACTGTTAAAAATTAATCCCTCAAAAAAAAAGAACTCAGAAATGTTAGATAAATGTTGGTGAGCTGCACAAGAAAAAAAAATTCACATTCAGTGTAAGTAAAAAAAAAATACAGCCATGGTTTTCTGATGTACTAGTGTCTATCTTCAGAAGCTTTCGGCCATGTTATAAAACAAGGGAAATTATCCTTTTGACATTTGGAGGTCAAAACCCAATAAGAAGTCGACGTATTGCAGCCTATACATCATTGGCACCTCAGCTCCTCGCACTTTTTCAAAGTGATACACCAAAAAATAAAAGGATTGGAGAAAATTATTAAAACTTTGCAACAGCTTTGAGTGCACTTTCCCATCAAAGAAAGTAAAGAAAAAGTAAGCCAAAGCGGACTCATGAGTCACTAGGACAATTCTAACTTCCTAAATCACAACAAATACTCCCTCCGTTTCAAAATGTTTGACACAATTGACTTTTTAACATATGTTTGACCGTTCGTCTTATTAAAAAATTTTTGTGAAATATGTAAAACTATATATGTACATGAAAGTATATTTAATAATGAATCAAATAATATGAAAATAATAAATAATTACTTAAATTTTTTCAATAAGACGAATGGTCAAACACATACTAAAAAGTCAACGGTGTCAAATATTTTGAAACGGAGGGAGTATTAAACAATCTTATCGCGCTTTGTTTCGAAATGTATTTTTATAGGAAGTCAAGGTTAAATAAGAAAAGAGCATGAGAAAAGAGACAAAAGATAGTGAAATTTCAACCAACCCACCATAGACACGCATAGATTTTTAAGCACGTCGTTCTCAAAAAGGGGGAAAAAAGATGTAAAAGCAAAGGTGAATATGCCCTGTAAATGACGCATAATTGATGTGCACCGGTGAATCGTTAGCAATCACACAAGGCCTCTCTAGTGGGTTGCTAATAGCAAATTATCTAAAAAGTTGGAACTGTTCAACACTGTAATTAAATCGGCATATGAAAAACTTACAGGAAAATAAAGTATCATGCCCATGTTTCATATGATATATGTTCAAGTGAAAAAACTGTAGTAGGAGTCAAAGCTTCAATTTGGTCCATAGAAAGGCACATATTGGTCAAATTGGTATGTTGAATGCAGACACAGAGAAATAAATACATGGCATAACATGTCAAAAGATGGTTGGTCCAATTGTGTCCACACCAACCATAAACTCCAAACACTGAGAATTTGGTCCAAAAGATGTTAACTAAGCCTCATAAATAATAGTTGTCAGGTACAAGCTTAATTATCAGGGGAAAAGGTAACTGTTTTTTTTGTCTATCAGAGGAGGATATATCAGGTGAACATGACCTGATGTCCTCATCTTTCTATCTGGTAATTAATTTGCTTCGGAATTATTGAGAACTTTTATATCAGGCAATATTGTGTTTTGCAGGAAAAAAAGAAAGAAAAAGAGAACATTTTCAGAGGATGTACTACCCCTTTTGAAGTGAAATACAGCACAGATAGGTTGCTTGCAATACATTCCAACTCAACTGATGACACTGTCATAAGTTTTCCAAATTGAAGATTGATACGCCAACTCGTAATGATTATAAGAAATGCTTGAAAAGAAAGAACTCTGAATTAATAGTACCAGTCATTGTCTCTTTGATGGCAGCATTATATACAGCTAAGTGCCTGACTTTTGCATCATTTTCATGTCTGAAGTTAAGGTGTTGATACACCTCCACAACTCATCCCCTTAGCACATATATATACCTTCAGAAATTTCAGATATAAATGCCATACCAATCAACCTGCATGGGAACATTGCTGTGCATGAGCACACAAAGTCACAATTCTTTATGAAGAAATTATTCTGATAAAAAGAGAACAAGAAATGAATAGAAATGTCACATCGAAATCGAAGCAAACACATATATATCCACACATGTGCAGTGTTCATCACACTTCCTAACACAGCCTTTCAGTGCAAAATAAATGGATGTGCAACAAAACCAATAGCAAAACGTGCAAAAAAAAGTTTTCTGATGGACAATCTGGGGGCTAAACCACACCTCATCATGATTAGTCACAACCAACAGGGAAAACAATGCAACTTCTAATAAAACTAAAAACTACTAGTAGGAAGCCTACTAGTAGTTTTTAGTGAAAAGTTATTACAGCGAAATAATCCCAAAACGGGAAGAGTTTGCATATCATTCAATATGAATCATCACAGCATCCTGTTACAGATAAAAAACGTGCACTTGTGACTTGTTGAAAACAGCTTCATCCATCAGAAGGACTTTCCCATTGTCAGGATCAAGATGGCTGACATCTTCAAGCATGGTTGCAGCCGCTGAACTGAACACTGCTCACATGGACAATCTATCAATCGATCGATCAGTAAATCACAGTGTGCACACCAAATTGGGGCAAAAAAAAAACGAATGCTGAATACCCCACCTCTGAATTCCGAATTCTCCTGAACTGAAACTCTGAATGCAGCAGGATGCGCAGAGCTCCAAGAAACACAGCATTTGCAAGAAGCGTGTCCTTGCCGGTCTAATGGCCGCGACCCCTAGGGGTAGGCGGCGGCGGCGGCGGCGGCGACGAGCACGGTGGAGAACACGCCGGAGCCGGCGGGCGGCGGCGGCGGAGGGTTCCTGATGGGCGATGGCCGTGGGATTAAGAATCAATGCTCCAGGTTGTCCCATGCTTTCGTGCTCTATTCTGTTTTTTCTCTCTGTTTTTCTTAAAAATGATCACGTTGGAATGGCTGAGATTATAAAGCTATTTTTTTTATGTGAGTTCGTTGCAATGCACGGACATATTATCTACTTCCTCCGTTTCATATTATATGTCGTTTGAATTTTTCTTAGTCAAACTTTGTTAAGTTTGACTTAATTTTATAGTAAAATTTAGCAACATCTCTTATTCGAAAAAAAATAGCAACATCTAAAATATTAAATTAGTTTCATTAAATCTAACATTAAATATAAAATTTTGATAATATGCTTATTTTGTGTTGAAAGTAATATTATATTTTTATATAAACTTATAATATTAAACGGATGGAGCGGTTAATATAAAGGAAGAGAAAGTTTACGTCTATTTCGAGTGGAAGTTCTATGTGATATGGTCCTCCTATAGGTCTCAAATTAGCGTATCTCAGCATTTGGGTTGTTGGTCTGAAAATCGTAGTTGGCTTATTTCCAAACCAAAGCCCCCACCAAAGATCACATTGATTGTTCATGCTTCATGGAACAATCAATTTTTGTCCTCTCGTTTTCCCTACAGCTTAGGGCAAGGCCAATACTTATTGTCCAACATAGCATTAAGGTGAGCCCTATAGCAATTGATCATAATTGTTACAATTGCTACACTGTTTAAGTCATGTATGAACAATAGATGTGGGCCCATTTACCACTAGAATAAAATCCAAATCATCCTTTTATTGGGCAGAGAGAATGGAGCAAAGTGTGAAATGAGATTCTCAGAATTTTTATTCTCTTATGGCTGACCATAAGCTTATGGTTGTTTCTTGTTGTGGCCTAACTTATGTTTTATTCCACAATGTCTATTGTTCACCTTAAGAACGGTTACTTTTTTGCAATATTGTGGTTGCATTTATAAGCAGTTGTTAAAGTTAAAACTTAATTTTGAAGTTTATCTTAAGCTTTTTCATCCCAATTTATTTTCCAGCGTTGATTTTTAAATCACTGAGGTTTTTTTTAAAAAAAATTATTGTTTCTGATAAGCTGCACAACTTGTATTTAGCATCTAGCCAACCAATGGGAACCATAAGTCTTCTATATTGTTGAATTGAGTAGTATCGTGTCATCGTTGAAAGGGCAACAAACCAATAAAAGTAGAGGAACTCCTTTTTTTTATATGGTGTTATGAATCAAACTATCAACTCTTTATGTCTTATCAAATTCACCAAAATATCATATTTTAAAATAAGTTAAAATAAACCCCACAATAAGTTTTGTTTCAAACATAGCCACGATGACTCGAGTCGTGTCATAACGTTGTTAAAAAAATAGGGGCTGCTATACAATGGGATCCGCCCGAATAAGATGATACTAATCAGGTATCAGATTTCGATACCTATCGGTATTGTATTTTATACCTCATAGGTATTGTCCGACTTTTATACCTCGACGATATCAGGTTGATACCTCGTCGGTACTAGTCGAAACCCGTCAGTACCAGTTTGATACTTATCGGTACCAGACTTGGTTAGGGTATCAGATCTGAGCTGAGAGGGGGGGGTGAGAAGAGTGGATGAAGATGGTTATCGGCGTGACTGCGGCCACAACAGCGCTCCTTATCCTCCCTTAGCATGATGGCGACACTCCCCATCTTCTCGCACCGCAATCCCAGACGAGAGGGGGAAGCAACAGGATGCTTCCCCACATCCTCCCTCCTCGCAATCGTGGACAAAGAGGATGAGCAACAGTCAGGAGGAGAAAGAGGAGTAGTCGTCGGAAGGTGGAGGCCATGGAATGGAAGGATCCCGATGGAGTAGCTCGATGCTAGGGTAGGGAGGTGGTTGGAAAGAAGCAACTGCTATTATTGCGAGTTGGACGGAATCAGAGAGCGAGAGGGAAGCAGGGTGGAGTCCAATCGAAATCCACCCAACTGGGGTCGTCTCCACTCCCTTCTTGATCCTTCATCCACCTTCTCGCCTGGGGCCTTCTCGCCTGGGGTGCCAATGCAGATCCTTCTCCTCAATTCAGCTGCCAGCGACAGATGGGGGTCGCGGCCACGGTGGGTTGGCTCCTAGTGGTGATGGATTGGGAGCGCGAGGCCAACCCAGCGTACGGCGACTTCTTCGTGCTTCCGTGCGAAAAGTTATTTGTTGGCCATAAAAAAAATATGTATGTATTTTCATGCGATATTTTATTACTTAAGTAAGAGTGAACTATTTTTTCTTCCTTCCTTTTCAAGTAATCATGCTATCCAAAAATAAAAAACAAAAACAATCAGGAGCATTAGTGATGGGTGGCAAGTGCAACATCATGGCACATGAACCAAACAAAATTTCATGACAAAGAAAGTGAAGTGAAGGCAAGGAAACCATGGTCCCATGGCTCATGCAAAACAAGCAGAAATAAATGAACAAAAACAACAAACAAACCAAAACAAAAAAACAAAAAAAAGAAGCAAAATCCCCAAACTACCCCCCTCCTCCTCCTCCTCCTCTTCCTCCATTCACTTCTCCCTCCCCTCCCCCCTCTCACTTCCCCCTCCCCGCCGCCGCCGCCGCCGCCACCGCCGCCGCAATCGCTGGCGCGGCGGCCCGCCGTTTCACCCCCACAGCCCCGCTCGCCCCGGGAAGCCACCGCAGCCGCCGTACGTGGCGAGGGGGGGGAGGCCTCCGCCCTCCAGCACCTCCACCGCCGTGAGCCCCCCACGCCCAGATCCGCCGTCCACGACTGGGGGGGCGCTCCGCTTGGCCACCGGGCTGGAGCTTCGCTGGTATCCCCTCTCGTTCGCTTGGTTAGGTGCATTTCTTTCCTTTTCTTATTTTTTTTTTAATTTTTGGTGGCGGTGTGGCGGATTGTGCATTTGTGCTTCGTTTGTACTTTTGCCCTAAATTGGCGTGCTGCTCTCAATTTGGGGGAAGGAAGAGATGCCATGAACAGAATTGCCGAACTAAGATGATTTTGAGTGGGTTACACTTGAAGATTCATGAGGACTAACTGCTCTCCGTTCTTTCCAGGTGCCTTGAGGTGTTTGTTCTTGCAAGGGAGTTCTGCGAACAAGCTTATGGCTCGTCGATTACTTACGGCTACGAAAGGTTAATTTGATGGTGGAGTAACAGATAGCCAGAAGGGCACCTCCCGTTGGTTGAATTTTACGCAGCAAGAGAATCTGGAGATTGTTACTGGGATGTAGAGGCTGCTCAGAGTTTTTCTGGATTAGAGGTTTTTTTTGTCAGCGATGGGGTCATTGTGCTGCGTCGCGTCGAGGCCCCATGGGGCCAGCACGGCTAGCCGGGAGTGGTCCTCGATTGGGCGGAGCGATCCGCTCTGGCGGACTAACGCTGGCTTTTCGCCGCCGCTGTCGAGGAGGTGGGAGTACCGCATCAATTCTGAGGGGCTGTCGTATGGCTCCCAGGGTGACAGCGGGGCTGCTGCGCACTACGGTTCGTCGCTATCCTCGAATAGTAAAGAGCCTAGTAGGAGCTGGGAGAGGAGTGATGTTCCACCGGATCATCATCGTTACTCCACCTCGGAAGGTGCCATTTCGTATTTTAACAGTCCGGATGTTACCTTCCAGAACCACCATATTATGCTTCCTATGCTGCAGGATTCTGGCATTGATGAATACATGCGAGGTATGCTTCTTGGAGTAGCAGAATGTTTTGTGCCTTTTGATGTTCCAAATAATTGTTTTATTAATACTTCTAGATTTGAGTGTGACCAAGTTGTTTCAAACTGAATACCTGTGCTGCATTTCCGTTTTCTGTATTGAGTAAATTCTTGGATTTACTTGTGTGACACCATGTGGATTGCTAATTTTTTAGTATGCATTAATCCACATGATGTTTTTCATTAATGCCCTGCACCTTGTTAAAGTATCAAGCACAACATATTGCAGTGCACATACAGATTTTTAACACTCATTCATGCACAACAGATGCACTACCAAATTCTTTCGATATGTACTGTAAAGCGAACCAAGAAAACATGAATGAAAAATCGTTTGCTAATTTGTTGGGATCTTAGCATGCCAAATGACATTCCTTTTGTCCTAGTCCCCGATAACAAAGTGTTAACCGGTTTCATTTTCATCTTGTGCAACAGCACTGTTATCTGTTGACAATGCATTGATACTTGGAATTTTAATATTGTCAAGCATGGTGGCAAGTGGCAACTCAACATTGTTTCATTGTAATTGTCAAAATCTTGTCTCATTTTATTTCATTGTTCAATGTGATCTTGTTTAAGTGATAAAGAGTGGTAAAGCTTATTATTCTTCTATTGTTATGGGCAGTAGGCAGTAAGAATGTCCTGATTCGACTATAGAATGCTGTAGTTCACAAGTCCTGTTTAATAATTTGCAGCTTTCCTGCTGATGTTTGTGCTGATTTTTCATGATGGAATTTTAGTATCTTGGTGAACAAGGGGCTTATGACTTCAATGATGAATTCTCTTGAACCTGCTGGTGTGATGGATTGTTGTTTTTGATTGTTTGCTTAACTAACACTCATACAGTGATGATTACGATAATTTAATTGATAAGATATTCTAGTTTAATACCACGATAATCAGCTGGTGGTTATTCATGATGACAATGATTGCTCTTTTGTCAATTTTGTAATTATTTGTTTGAATCTTATCATTGACTGTTGTGGTCACCATTGCCTTTGCACATTCATTTCAAATTATGCAATTTATTGTATTAGGGTGAGTTTTTCCACATGGTCCTGCTTGAATAGATGGTCTGCACTTTCTGTTTTAAAGGTTCTCAATTGGTGATCTTTCATAAATTTCATGCACTCGAGTTGGATTTTTTAAAAAAATGGGGAGTGTAAGCTACATGGAGTTTATCTTCTTCACAGAAAGTTAGTCCCAATTCCCAAATTTAAGACTCATATCATGCCCTGCAAATTTAGTTCTGGATTTCTGCTTAGTTTTTCATGATGGATACTTGGTATGGATTATTCAGTTTTTAGATGATATATCTAGCTAAGTATTAGCACCGTTACCAATTTTATAAGCACAGTAAGGAGATGCTTACAAAAAAGAACTTTATTAAAATAAAAAATATAATTCATAAGTACAAGCTCAATATCTCTTTGTTGTGAGTGACGAATTTGAATATAGTTTACTGAAGATTTTTTTTCCTTATTTGTACCGCATGTCCTTCTGTTATGTGTTTGGACTCTAGCGTGTTGGTTGTTATTGCTACTGCTATCTAGAATCCCCCACGATTGAAATGGTTGTGGGAGAGAAGGCTGCAAGGGCTGGACCCTTTGATGTGATACTTGAACGGAGGCATGAGGATAGATGCTTTTTATTTTCTTATTGGCACATTAGGATACAATTCCCCTACACATATAACTTCAACCTCTTTATAGATGTAAATAACTGACATGGAAACAAATGATTGAGGACAAGCTAAAGAAGAGAACCATTCTTATGCTTCCCTACTGTCATGGCTGTTGTGTGACTGTTGGAATGCCATCCATGACACATTAATTTAGTTTTGAATCATATTAAACTGATCATATCTGAAAGTGACAGCTGTATGCATGTTTTGTTTCATCTATATCTGGGTTACTACTGTATTAATGTTATTACACTAGTTATTATACTACCTCCATCCTAGAATATAAGCATTTGTAGGGTTGGACACAAGTATTAAGAAAGTAGGTAGAATTAAATGGGGGAAGGTTATGATTGGTTGAAAAGTAGAGGTGGTGGAAAAATTGAATGGTGGAGGGTTGTGATTGGTTGTAAAGAAAATGTTGGTGAAGAAGTTGTTATATTTTGGGACAAATCCTAAGGGGTAGAAGTTGTTATATTTTGGGACGGAGGGAGTATATAAAAACTAGGAAGTATTAAGCATTGCCAATTATTTCAGAATCAGATCATAACTGTTTTTATTGTTGGTAACTTGGTATATTCTCTGCACGAGTAAATCTTGTTCCTTTTTCCTGATCGAGCACAAGTTCTCTTCTGATTGTTATGTTGTTTCTTTTCTTTGACGGGTTTGAGCACATCAAATGAATTCATGGCGAGAAACTTTGTTTTACATTTTATCTTTATTTAAATTATACATCAACTGTAAGATACTATGTACTAAAAGTAATACTTTGGTATAAAGGATTGTGGCATATTTGAGTAACATTGGCATTTACATTGTTGTAGTTTGAACTATTATTGAACGATTCTATCATCAGTATGAGTGCACGATGACATGTTATTTGTGGCTCATGCATGTTTATTTTTCTTAAGTTGACCATGTATGGTGTTTTTGAATTACATATGATGATTGTTTATACATCACCTTTTTTGTACATCCCCACATGTATGTGATCTTGTCCCATGAGATTTTCTGCATGATCAATTGTACTAATGGGTGTCAATTGTATTGCTGTGCAGTCTCGGTGGCTGAGCCAATTGGTGCATTGTTATTGTCAGAGGTATGCCATATGATGGTTTTACGTGTATCTTATATTCTGATAAGTTCTTTTCTCCTTTCATACTTCAGAGGACCTGATTTTCTTCTCTTTTTGTAGGGGATATCTGGACAGCAAAACAGTGGTGGTTCCACTTCCTCTCGCTCTGATGGAAGTGAATATGATATTGTACCAAAATCATATTCCTCTACCCCACGCAACTTCCCAAGTCGTCGATCATTCCTGTCAAAGCCAATCCATCCGCTCTCGTTTCCAGAGCATGCACTAGAAGGGCAAGAAACTGATAGCCCTGTTGCCAATGCAAGCACCAGCAGTCCTATGCCCTCGGAGTTCAAGGCAATAGGGGAGATCCGCCCGTCAGGTCTGATGGACTACGCCTACGCCAGTGGCAGTCATGGGGAGTCAGCAAACTGGAGTGCCGCAAGTAGCATGGATCTTACCGATTTATCAGAACGACATGATGCTGAACGCTCTGGACCACTGCGTTCCAATAACATAATGGATAGAACAAGGTGCGACCTTTGCGAGAGGCTCTTGTCCAAGAGATCGCCCTGGGGCTCCCGCCGAATCGTCCGTACTGGAGATCTGCCTGTTGCTGGTGTGCTTCCCTGCTGCCATGTCTACCATGCCGAGTGCTTGGAGCGAACCACTCCCAAGGGGCAGAAGCATGACCCTCCTTGCCCTGCCTGCGATAGGCTGTCCGGCAAAGACACCGAGCAGTGGTCGATCTGCAGGCTAAGAAACGGATTCCCGAGGCTAAGGTCACTTGGGGAAGGCCCTTCCAGGGTCTGGAGCTGTGCCCAAGCTGGAGACTGCGTGGCTGGCGCTGTCCAGATACCAAGAGCAAGCAGCATCTCTCTGCTGAGCCGGAGTGGCCACAAGAGGCATCATGCTGCTTCCAAGGGAGAATCCGGCAAAGACTGGGCTGAGACATCATCATCATCAAGAACTGCCTGCATGTAGCGTTGTAGCTTAGCTCAACGCATGTTTGCTTTGCTAAACCTGATGATCGATTTACCTTGCATTGCATTGCATTGTCTCTTGTTGATGTGGATGCAAAAAGGCTTGATGTGTATCAGATGCAGATGTTGCCATGGGATTAAAGTTAACTGGTCCGGCTAGGAGAAATGACATAGATGTGCCTATGTAGCTGATGACTGAAATTTACCCCCCACCCCCCTTATTTTATATACCAAATATGAGGGCTGTAACCTTGTTCATAAAGGTTGTCGATCTTTACATATCCATTAAATTCTTTGTGACATTCCATTGAAATTTTGTTGCCCTCCCATCCATGCCATTGCCGTCACCGCTCCAAAGCTTGTCATTGATTGGCCAGCCGAGGTCTAGCCTCAACCTAGCGTGTTATCACAGACATGGTGTCTTCAAACGTAAGTATGCCTTAACCTGGCAATGTCTTTACTGTCTCTAATGCCATGTCAGAGACTTCAACCTAAGGCCATCACCAATGCGTGCCCTGGAGAGTATCCCTAGCGGCGAGCATTTGCTTTTCTATCCGCGCCGTCCCTCCGCGATGGGACTCGTCCCTGTGCTGGGGGATGCGGCTCTCTCCGTGCCTCGCTAGCTTTTCATGGGGACCCATAGAGTGGCTCTGATTGTATATGCCCTAATGAGTTACTATTATAGATGCGCTTGTCTTCAACGTATGCCTCAATCTAGCGATATCTTTATCGCGGTACATTTAATTTTTTATCACTTTTAAGATGTGGCAATTAAGAATTTGTCACTCGCTGTTTATAACATGTGTATCCTCATGTATCTATGACACATGAGTCCAGTACTAAATCCTTTATCACCACTCGTAAGAGTGGCAAATAGTTAATTATACCCTTTACGGCTGTCATGTTAGAGACGCGGGCGATTTTCATAGCCATATGCACATCACCTATTTTTGATGTTCCGGATTTTTTCTTTGCGGCCAAAAATGTTGGGCCCTACATGTCAGTCAGACAGTCACCTTGTTGCCACGAGCGTCGCCGAGCAACACGGAGTGGACGGATTTCAACGCTGCGATGATACTTGCATGCTCATTGCCTATTTTTGAATTTCAGGCTGGGGGGGTGCATGCAGATGCAGGTGTCGTCTTGTCTGATGAGCGGCCGCTGTTCCCGCCACTTCTCCGGGATCTCCAACCCCAGCCTCTCATGGCGCCAACACCCTCCCTCCCTCTCTCTATTTAAGCAAGCACATTCTCCTCTTCTTCTTCCCGTGTTCTTGTTCTTCTCTGGTGATCATCATCATCATCAAGTCCTATTAAACATCTGGTGAGCTCTCTCTCTCTCCAATTTCTCATGATCTTTTGTTGATTCTTGCTAGCTGCAATTAAGCAAATGAAGTTTTGCTCTTTTTTCTTTCTTTTTTTGTTCATGACAACATTTTCTTTTCTTGCCCATCAATTGTGTGTTTTATTTGCCTTTGGTGGTGTAGGAGAATGGCTGAAGAAAAGAAGACCCCATGCCTGAATGAGCGGATCCTGTCGTCGCTCTCGAAGCGATCCGTGGCTGCGCATTCCTGGCATGATCTTGAGATTGGTAAGTAGATGTCAAGAGATAAGTTATCCATAGTGTTCTCTCCTTTTCGGTGTAGCTGATGCTGATGCATTTTCCCTCTCCAAATGCTGTATAGGACCTGGAGCTCCTCAGGTTTTCAATGTTGTAAGCATCGTGTTCATAATATATTTGTCATCAAATTGAAGCAAACACTGCGATTTATTTCAGGATGCATCTGGACCTGACATGTTTTTTTTTGTAGGTTGTTGAGATCACAAAGGGGAGCAAAGTGAAGTATGAGCTTGACAAGAAGACTGGAATGATCAAGGTACACATTATCTGCTGAAAGTCTCTCAACCTGGCTGCTTACTGTTTAACATCATCTCAATTGAGTTTGACAAGTTTAAAAAATTGATGCAATTGATCTTTTGACAATCTTTATCACTAGGTTGACAGGGTGCTATACTCATCGGTGGTGTACCCGCACAACTACGGTTTCATACCGCGAACGCTGTGCGAAGATGGGGATCCAATGGATGTGCTGGTCCTGATGCAGGTGAGCATGGTGCTATTGAATTTTTTTTGTTCATTTAAGTTGGAGTAATTCTCCAAGCTCTAACTCATCTACACATGATGAACAGGAACCAGTGATTCCTGGCTGCTACCTTAGAGCCAAGGCCATTGGCCTCATGCCTATGATTGATCAGGCATGACAACTTCATTCTTTTTTGGCAGAGTTTTATTGTGAAAATTGCTGTCTCACTTTGTTGTTGATCTAATGGTGCACTTGTTTTTGGAACATAAAAGGGTGAGAAAGATGATAAGATCATCGCGGTTTGCGTTGATGATCCCGAGTTCCGCCACTTCAATGATCTCAAGGAGCTCTCTCCTCACCGACTTGCTGAAATCCGCCGCTTCTTTGAAGACTGTAAAATTCAATCCATACGCAAAATAATTCAGATTAACTACAATCACAACAATTTAATGACTGAATTTTCTTTCAAATATGATGTTTCTTTTTTTGCAGACAAGAAGAATGAAAACAAAGAGGTCGCCGTAAACGATTTCCTGCCACCGGCAACTGCTCAGGAGGCCATCAAGTACTCCATGTGAGTTCCTTCTGAAATATCTATTGAGAATGCTGTTCTTTGTTTTCAGCCAGGACTTTGATATACTCTATGATGATTTTAGCTCTGTATAATCTGCCAAAGGAAACAAAAAAAACATGGAATTTCTGAATGCTAAATCTCATATGATATAATATCTGACATGTTTGTGTTATTTCAGGGATCTTTATGCTGAATATATCCTGCACAGCCTGAGGCGCTAATTAATTATCATCGTCAGATGGAGCAATCAGACCCTGATCTCATGAAGAAAATAACAATAAAAGTCTCTTGGGTGATGCTCTTTTTGAGCAGCCATTTTTGCATTATATTTGAAACAAGGGATAATATTATGTTTCTGCATTTGTGCAGAATATATGCAAATCAATAATGTTACTGTTATTGCTTGCACGCAAATATGTTGGTCCAACTAGCTTCAGGCCGAATCATCGATGCATGACCGGTGATAAATGGTGTAATTTTGGACTACAGGTGATAAATATTGTATGATGCCCTGTGTAATATATGTGATTGTATTTGGTTTCTAATTGGCGACTGCTAATTGTATGACGTCAATTTTCCAGAATGGAATAGTAGTATACCTGTTGGTTTCTATGAAGGCAGTAATGTTTTGGGCATTTAATTGTGGTAAAAAAAAAGGGCTCCGTAAAGATAATGTCAAAAAGAAAAAATAATTGAGCTAATTTGGATTATGATGTCTTTTGCTTTCTTTAGAAAAAAAACATTAAGCATTTCTGGTGGAACACGTCTTATTTGAAACCAAAAAATGTGGGAATGAAAACATATGAGGAATTTTTTTTTATTACCAGGTGAAACCCCGCGCATTGCTGCGGGAATTTAGTATGATAACAATAAAAAAAATAATATGTAAGATAGATAGATAATATCATATTAAATAAATTAATGTGGTTTATGATAATTTAAATTTAAATAGTATGTAGAATGGTGATTCAAACGTCAAAAGTAAGCTAGTATGACTTTATGGAAGAAGAAAAGTAGGGAGATAGTTTGGACCATAGATTAATCATCTAAAGGCTAAAAATAATTGATGTGATATGACTTAATTAGAGGGGAAAAGAACAAAGATAATTTGGACCATAGATTAATCATTTAAGTACTAACTAAGTGAGAATGAACTATATAATATATAGGATATCATAAAACATAATAAAGATATACATTGAAACATTATGTGAATTATGTTGGATGATAATTTAACATGTTTGTATTTAAAAAGCTTTTAAATTATAAAAACTATAAAGATATAACATGTTTGCGTGATGTTTAAATGTGATGATTGTTAGTAGATTATGATGTGGCATTTTGTTAATTAGTGAATAATGATGTGGCATCTTTGCATGTCAAGCTTAAGGAGTTAGTGGAGGATAACTTTATAGTAAGATAGGATATGGTAGACGCACACACACAGACAGCACTACATACACAACAACACATTCACACACCAATGAATGTGTCTGCTGACACAATCTTAAGGAGATAGAAATCAATAGCACATCTTAGATCTCACTAAATATATATTAAAGACTCACTTATATGTGCATAATATTCATGGCCACCATGATTTAAACACTTGTGGGTGAAGTCATGTACCACTATCACACCACAACACCGACTGTGCTTCCCAGTTCCCAAGGAGGTATATATCTTGATTCCCATTCTATAAATTTTAAAAAAAAATAAAATGTAGCACAATATAGGCTATATTGTACCGGGGCTTAACACCTGTGTACATGAATTCCACTCCATAGAGGTGTCCTATATGTAAGGTTAAATCCTCACTTTGGTATCTTAGTCTTTTTTGGCACTATCAAGTAGAATGAACCAATGTATCATTGACAGTTTGACACACGTCCTCACATGTAAGTATCACAATATTTTTCACAATTCTTGATTATGATATATTTATTTAGTTTATTGGAAACATGCTGCCACCGTCTTTAGAGATGGAAATGATACTACACAGGACCTAGGCCATATAATACATGTTTGTTCGATGTACTTGCTGATCAGTAAGCATCATAGAAAGACTTACCTACGGATACCAACAACAATTACTTAGTTGGCACACCCAACAATATATCTTCATCCTATATTTCTTTTCGGTTGTTCTTTTTCATGTTTCTCAATTATGAGTTTTAGAGTGCATGCACTCGTGTAAACCTTTGGCTGTGTATATCCACTTTAGATGTAGAGGCCGGATTTTATCCATTATCTAAAAAAAATATTCCTTTGTAATTGAAACTAAAAGCCTAAAATGGATTGAGCTGCAACAACCTAAAATTCTTGACCATTGGATCATCAGTTAACATGTATCTAGCCGCGTCACCCTGAACTTCTTTTTTTTTTCTTTGAAGGAAAGGCAAGAAAATTGCCCTATATATTGATAGAGAAGGAGAGCATTGTATGTATTTACATAGCCGGGGTTAAGGTTGTCCACAGACCAGAGAGGAGGGGAACTATACACTCTCAACGGCTGTAGCTTAGAGAGGCTTTTGGCCCCTGTTGCGACCCAAAGCTTGACCTCCTCCTTGATCCTCGAAAGGATGTTTTCTGCAGTATATTGCATCTACAAGGAAGCAACCATACATACAAGCTGTTGACACATCATCAACAGATTTTATATATCATAATTAATCATCCATTTGAAGGGAAAAAAAATAAGAAAAAGGGTAAACTGATCAACCATAAGATGAAAATATATTACCGTGCAATCTATGACTCAAACATTCTTGGTAGTGTTTTAATTCTTCTAGTTTGTACATGCTCTTTCCATAACTTATTGTTTTCTAAAATTAAATAGCTTCTTAATAAACGCAGCTTTAATTAAATTGGCATAATTTCTTTCATACTGATGTTGGGTGTATAGCATATAGAAACATTTGATGGGTTTATTTGTTAGAATAATATCAAAACCTTATTCCAAATCACCTCAAAGATATTCTTATTTCATTATTAACTACAAATTGTCTTTTTTCATCTTTTCAAAGCCATATGCACATAGCGATCATGCAATAACACGCAGAGTATCACCTAGTAGTTGATAAAACTTGCTTTGTTATTTTACTATGTTCCTTAACCAATACATATGCATACCACCCAATCATAATCACTAAAGAGGTGGGCGAACTAACCCTACATTTTCTTAAAGATACCCTTCCCCTCTCCCCATGCGGAAGGATTCACCATGTGCAAGTGGTTGCATGAAAACGGGGGACAACTTTGAACCGTTAGATGTATCGGGGCGGGGCCCTAATATCATCCAGGACTAGGACCGGAGACCAAATCTCACCCACGGATGCTCGAAGCTTGGGTAGGCTCTAGAATACACCAAAAAAGCCCACCACCATTGCCAAGCCGGCCCATAACCATCCATCCAATTGATTAAGGTATAAAAGGAACAAAACCCTAATCCCCCCCTCCCCCAATTCCTAGACTCCCAGCCGCCGCAGGAGTGCTCGACTTGCCTTGCATGACCCTCGGCTCCACACCGTCCTTGTCGCGGGGCACCGGCTGCCAACGCACTTACCGAACACCTAAACCTCATGCCACCAAGCACCTTAGCCCCACGCCATCGGCGGTCAGTACCCTCGGCTCCCACCTTCGTCCTCAAACCCCATCTAGTTGCCCACTGGTTTCTAACCCCATCAATTGTCGGATGACCGATGCTAACCTCTCGCATGTCCCTGGTCATGTTTCGGGGAACCTGTGAGGCTAGGACATGTTCCCACGTTTTCTCTTCCAGGACCGAGGCTATTCTTATCCAACCCGGCCCTAACCCGCCCTGTTGCCAATCGTAGTGTAGAGGAGTAATATGATATTTCTAGTAGTAAAAGATGGATTGTTGTGACACACTTTGAGTTTGGGTATTTTCATCTCAGATTCACTCAACAACCATTGTCAAACAGAAATGAGAAGCAAATTGTCATGATCAACCATGCAATACCATGCATGATACAGTAACACTTATCAAGTTATCTTTGAATTTAAATTATGCCGGGGCCTAATTGCCCAACTAAAACCCTCTCGAAGACTTTCTTTCGAACGATAGAAATGGTTTACATCTCCGGCATTTGCCGACAGGCACACTAACAAAATCTCTAAGAATTAAGCATGAACAGCAAATGACTGAAATTATGGAGCATTTCCAGGTAATCTTGAGGCGGCGATCAGATCATCATCTCGTCCACATGGCAGCTGCCATAGGGGAGGTACACCAGCTCGTTGCCGGCGAAGCCGTCGCCGACGTCGGCCACCGCCGGCGGCACCACGGGCGGCCACCTGTTCTCGTCCTCGAACGTCGCGCCGACCAGCCGCCGCCGCCGCAGGTAGCTCCTCAGCCACGCCGCGTCGTGCACCTTGTTCCTCGCCGCCGCCACGAACGCCGCCCTCTCGGCGTCCGGCTGCGCCAGCGGCGTGCCGGCGTCGCGGGTGGCGAGGCGGAACGCGGCGACGTCGAGCGCGAGCTCCGGGTCGGTGTGCGCGTCGTAGGCGCGCGCCGCGAACCGCTCGAGCGCGGCGTCGAACGCGGCGCCGCGCATGACCGCGGCGACGACGCCCGCGGCGCGGCGCGACGGCGCGTGCGGCCCGCGGAGGAACCGGAGCTCCGTGTCGCTGAACGCGGCGCGGAAGTTGAGCGCCGCCGGCGAAGCGTGCGCGCCCAGGATGGCGAGGATGGCGCGGTCGTGCGCCAGCGCCGCCTCCTCCGGCGTGCCGTGGTCGCCGACGCCGTACCGCCTCCCGAACTTGTTGGTGATGAACCCTCGCCACCGCCCGTCCGCCGTCCTCGCCACGCCCTTGTACTTCACCCGTGCATGCACGTCGTCGTCGTCTCCGGTGCCATCGCCGGCCATGGCGCGGCGTCGGGTGGCCGCGTCGTGGCGGCGGACGGCGCCGGCGAGCATTGCAAGGAAGTAACTGAACAGGTGAAGTTGGCGAGCACAAATATTTTGAGCTTAAATGGACGCCAAAAAGTCCATATATGTATATAAATGCAATTTTCGTCATAGGAATAAATGAGTTTTTAATTCATTTTATAAAAATGTGTGGAAATCTGTTGTTGCAGGTAGAAAACCAATTAATGCTATGCTCATAGTCACATCCTATCTTGTATGAAGGGGGTATTTAACTTTTTGCCACTTTTAAGATGTGATAATTAAAAATTTGTTACCCACAGACTATGGCATACGGATCCTCATATGTCTATGATATGTGGGTCCAGTGATAAATCCTTAATTGCTACTTGAAAGAGTAGTAAATGGTTAAATATCTCTGTATAAGATCATTCACTGTATTGTGGTTATTTGCTTCCACTACCAGTAGAGATCATTTGATCATGCCTCCTAGTACACCTCAAAATGTAGAGCAAACTTTGACTATGCACTAGGATCAAAGGCCAAGATGAGAAAAAAAGACCCCTTTTTTTTGCAATTTTGCTTGTAAACACTAACTCCAATATTGTATACTACTCAAATGCAGGGTTTTAAATCTTCGGCTATAGCTGTTTGAGAAGGGTCTAGCTATTTGCTCTTATATACAATTTAGTCCGCTATAGATTTTTGAGAAGGTCAATCGCTAAAT